CATTGAGTAAAAATTCTTTACTCAACTAGCTCTACAGTAAAGTAGAGCTCTACATAGCTTTTCAGTGAATTTTCTATCTCTTATATGGTTATAGCGTCTACCGGGTCTTCCGGGTATAAGGACGGTCCCTTCTCTAATTTTGCCTGGATCTTGGGTTAGCTGAGGTGACAATTTGACTTGCCCGGCTCTACTTAATTCTTTATTTCTTATTATTAATATTCCTGCTTTTTCTTAATGCTGATGCAAATAAATGATTTCGATTGTGACTATCGAACGACTATCGATTCTTCTAGGTTTTGTCATACTCACCTTGCAGCACCATGCCCTGCTCAATGCATTTCTTAAATCGACAATACTGACAACGGTTGCGCTGTGCTTTGGTTATCTCGCAGGTGCCATCGGCAACGCACGTGTAGACCCTTCTGTTCTGCACGGTGCGCTTGAAGAAGCCCTTGCATCTGCAGGAGAGGATCACAGAGGGAGATAGAGAGAGAGAGAGGGAGAGAGAGAGAGGGAGATAGATCAATGTTAGATCAACTTTGTCAAGTGCTCCACTTGAGGTTTAGCCGTGCTTCAACTTACCCCTCGCAGGTGATGATGCCGTAGTGCAGTCCGGTGGCCTTGTCCTCGCAGATCATGCAGACCAGCGGCTGGTCATCCTCGTCCGTTGGCTCGTGCGGCGCCTCGAGGGAGCGCCCGCTGCCGCTGGAGTTGGAATTGGAATTGGAGCTGCCCCACTGCTGCTGGGCGCTCAGATTCAGCGCCTGCAGCTGACCCGGCGGCAGCTGCGAGTAGTCCCCGGCCCACAGGCGCTCCATGTTGAGCGCGTGCGGCGTGCGGAACTGATGCGGACGCGGACGGATATCCTGGATGCGCGTCTGTCCGAGCGAGAGCAGCAGCTGGGCAGCCTCCTCGTTGTTCTGCGGACCCACAGCCGGCGGACCGGGCGTATGGCTGGGCGTAATCGATCCGGTCGAGGGTGACGAAACTGTTTGCAGGCAATGTTGCTGCTGTTGCTGCTGCTGTTGCTGCTGCTGCTGCTGTTGTTGCTGCTGCTGCTGTTGGTGCTGCTGCTGGTGTTGTTGCTGCTGCTGCTGCTGCTGTTGTTGTTGTTGCTGGTGTTGGTGTTGTTGCTGTTGGTGTTGGTGTTGCTGCTGCTGCTGTTGCTGCTGTCCCGCTGTTGGCGGCGGCGGCTCATAGCCCCAGACCATGGTGCGCACGCCGCAGCTCTCGCCCATGATGACGGTGGGCGTGCCGCGCGGCGGCGTCTGCGAGGGCGTCTGCGGCGACAGCTGGGACGACGAGGACGAGGACGAGGGGTGCGGCGACGGGCAGAGCGGCCCGCCAATCACCTCCGGCTTGACGCCGTTGATGCGCGCATTGCTGAAGCAGACCATGCGCTGAGCTGCCGCTGCGGCGGCCGCTGCTGCTGCTGCCGAGGGCTGCATCAGATGGGGCAGTCCGCTGGATGCGGCGGCGGCAGCCACCGCCACCTGCTGCTGCACCTCGCTCTTCACCCGGAACAGTATGGCGGCATCGCGGTTCGGATGGCGCAGCGACTGCAGCGAGGCTGAGTGCATCAGCGACTGTTGCTGCTGCTGCTGCTGTTGTTGCTGCTGCTGCTGATGTTGTTGCTGGCTTTGTTGCTGTTGCTGCTGCTGCTGGTGTTGCTGGTGCTGGTGTTGGTGGTGGTGCGGCGAGAGGTGCCGCTGCACCTGCCCGCCCGATCCACCGCCCGAATTGGGCTCCTTCTTGACGCGAATCAGCGCATGCGGCGAATGTTGCTGCAGATGTTGCGGCGACTGTTGCTGCTGTTGCTGTTGCTGCTGCTGCTGCTGCTGCTGGCCAAGCAGGTGATGCAGATGCAGCTGCTGCTGTGTGAGCTGCTGCATCGACTGCATGGCCAGCTGCGGCAGCTGCAGCTCCTGCGGCGGGCTGTTCTTCCGCAGCGTCAGCGGCTGCGTCAGCTGCTGGTGCAAGTGATGCGTCTGTACGATGGAGGCGGGCGCCAGGCTGCCATGCCCATGGCCATGGCCGTGGCCCAGCTGGGCGTGCCCATGGCCGTGGGCGTGCGGATGGCCGTAGCCGTGCCCATGATGCTGGCCCATCGGCGGACTGGCACGGCTGATGTGCTGCGAGGAGCTGATCGAACTGGAGCTGCCCAGCTCCCGTTCCCGATCCCGCTGCGTGGTGGAGGAGGGCGAGGCGGGCGGCGGGGGCTCAGCCTTGATGCGCGACGGCGTCACCAGCACTGTGACATGACCCGTGGCTGCCTTCAGATCCCGATCCCGATCCCGATCTCGATCCCTTTCCCGCTCCCTTTCTCGTTCCCTTTCTCGCTCCCTTTCCCGCTCGCGCTCCCGCTCCCTGTGCTGCTGCTGCTGCTGTTGCTGCTGCTGGTGGTAGGCGAGCATTTTGGTGGGCGAGGCCAGGATGCGCTCCTCCTTGACCGAGCGTATTACACTCAGATTGCTGCTGATCTTGTTGTTGTTGCTGTTGTTGTTGTTGCTGTTGCTGCCGCCGCCGCCTCCACTGCTGCTACTGGTCGCCAGCAGGCCGTTGGTGGGCGTGGCACTGTTGCGGCCGCCCGTCGTCGTTGAGGGTTTCTCCTCCAGCGAGTCGGGCGAGGCCAGGCGACTGCTGCCATTGCTCGAGCTGGAGGCGCCGCCATTGTTGTGTGGCGGCGTCGGCGTGCCGCGTGCACTCAATGCCAGCGACAGGGCCTCAACCCCGCCCCCGACACCGCCGCCGCCTCCACCTCCGCCAGTGTCAAGGGCCAGCGGCGGCGTCGCTGCCGACGGCGGAGGGGACATAACTGTAGAAGCAGCCGCCGCTGTGATCGCACTGCTGGATGAGTTGATTTCAGTCTGTTGATGCTTGGATCCACCGGCCGATCCACTGTTCGCCGCAGCAACAGCAACTGTTGCTGCCACGGCTGCTGCTGCTGCCGCTGCTGCGGCTGCCGATGCTGCTGCCTTGGCTGCTGCTGTTGCGGTTATGGTGATGGTGTTGCTGCTGCTGCTGCTGCTCGGACAGCTGCCGGCTGTCGTTGACATTGAAGATGATGCATCTGCTGCAGTTGCTGCTGCTCCACTTGCTGCTCCTGCTCCTGCTGATGATGATGATGATGAGGTGGCGGCAGCTGCCGCCGATGTGGACGCCGCTGTTGTCACCGTCACCGTCACCGACGGCAGCGACGGCAGCGTCGGCGTCGTGCCGCTGTCACAGAGCTTCGGCGACATCGGCGCCAATAGATCCGGCGACGAGGTGGATGTGTCCGCTATGGATTCGCCGTCACTGCTGCATCTTGAATCGATTTTGCGTCGCTTGAGTTTGAGGTCTTGAAAAAGGCTCATTTTATCGAGCTCGCTGTACGGGCCACGGCTCAGTGTCATAATTCCTGTGCAACGAGCGCCGTTAGATGGAGCAAGGGTGTGGGGGAGAGAGAGAGTGCCACAAAGGGGGAGAGAGAGAGAGAGTTAGAGACGGAAATACTTATATATATACA